CTGAGCCTGCCCACTCTCCCCATCTCTGCTTTTGCTCCCTGGCCACTCAGGCTGCATGGACCACTCCAGTGAATCTCTTTCTTTCATTTTCTGTATTTTATTATAGAAGGAATTCACTGATTTTATTAACACTGCAAAGGATACAAAAAAGAGGGTAGTCAGGTCTGGTGGCACTTGCTTGTAATCCCAGCACTCTGGGAAACCGAGGCAGGAGGATCTCAATTTTGAGCCCAATCTGACCAATTTAGGAAGAACCTGTCTAAAAAAAAAGGTTGGGGAGAGGGGTGTTGGTCAGTGCGAGGGGCCTGGGTTTCATCCCCACTACTGGGGATAAAAAGCAGAATTAAAAAATGTGCCTCTTTCTTCTTTATACCTCCCTGGCCTCTTTCTTTCTCAGAGGAACCCTAGATCTGACCTTTACAGAACATGCTGTTGTGTCCCCTTCTGGACCCACGTCCTCAAGTAGAGACATATACTCGGTTTTCCAGAGGACTTTGGATCACGTCTTATGTTTGGCTTTGAGACCTGAAGTCTTTATTCAGTGGAGCATGGTCCTCAATTTGTGGCAAATAAATCTGCCATGTCTAACAAATCTAACATATCCACATGCATACATTTATACGCTGGAGCAATACCTTTATATAATTGTTATATCCTTTAATTATTTACGTGCAAATGATTATTTATACACCAGCACCTACCTTCCCATTAGAATGACTGGTTAAGATTACACAAATAGTTAAATTATAAGTTATATTATTTGTGTTTCATTTCAGAAGAATAAAGAGGGCATTACAAATATTTTTTCCAGGCTGAGGTTGAGTGCTTCAGGGCTCAGTGGTAGAGAACCTGTCTAGCATGAGGCCTGGGTTTATCCCCAGAACCTCACATACAGGTGTATGCATGTGCACACACACACACACATGCACATACATGCGCACACGTGCACACACACCCTTTAAAGAATGTATAGTGAAGTGGCTGAGAACCTCAGTGATTTCCTCATCCCACGCTGCTCAGCAGTCCAGCTGTGTATTCACGGGCAATCTTCCTGTTCCCCCTGGCCAGGCTGCTGCCCACCCTGGTGAAACTGCACTTGCAGTGTCCGAGGTGAGGAGGCTGCCTGGGGCAAATTGAAACAGCCAAGGAGGGAACGTCCTGGCAGGTGCTGAGTGGCTCATGGCGCAGGAATGCGGGGCAGCCAGGCAGTCAGGCGGGCAGGCCGCCAGGCGGCTGGAGCTGTGCCACTGCAGCCCGTCCTGCCCAGCTGGCATGGAAGGCTGGGCAATGCTCTGGCTGCCCTGCTCCTGGACCTTAGTCCTGGGCACTGGCCGTCACCTCTGATATCACGCGTGACCCTGGGAAGTCACAGCTGCCACACACGACGTGACACCGGCTGCACTCACATTGCGCCACCACCCTGGCTGCCGAGGAGGAGAAGGTGGCTTCCAGAGGAAGGTGCCTCCTGCCATCTCCTATTTTCACAGCAAGAAGGAAGTTGGATGCAGGAATCCAGAAGCAAGGCCAGAGAGGGTCACTCTGTCCCCAGCGGCAATGAACAGCCAAGAAAGACTTCCTCATTGTCTCTGCTTCTTGTAAAGTTGCTTTCTCTCCTCATCTTTCTCCTCAGACTCGCACCCTGGATGGAAACTCTTCTGTGCGTGGTGAAAGCAGGGAATAGAAAGTGCATTTGGTGGAATAACTGTCAGCTAAGGGTGCCTGGTTCTGTTCAATGGGACCTACGGATGTTATCTTTCCAGGAAAAAGGCATCTTCAGGATGTTACTAGAGTCTTGCTGTGGAGAGAGAACGGTAATAGATATCCTGGGTGTGCCCTAAATGCCAGCACCAGCATCCTCACATGAGTGAAGCAAAGAGGCTCAGGCAGGAAGGAAAGGCCCAAGTGACCGCAGAGGCCACAGGTCAAGGAGTGCTGTGGCCAGAAGCTGGAGTGGATCAGGGACAGAGTCCCTCAGAGCCTTCCCAAGGCCTGCGGCTCTGCAGATACCCGGATTCCCACTCTGCAACACAGATTTCAGCCTTCCAGCCTGCAGGGCTGAGAGAGAGCACAGCTCTGGTTTCTGCTTGCTTGTGTTTTGCAAAGCTGGGGACAGAAACCAGGGTCTCACAGACAGAAGCCTAGGCCAGCACTTGCCTCCCAGTGCGCCCCCAGCCCATTTCTCCTGCTTTATGCCATCTGCTTTATGGCGCTTTGTTGCCACTGTCACCAGAAACCAACAGAATAGGGAGATGGTGGGAGAGAATTTGAGTCTCTAAGACAAAGTAGAGGGAGAAAGGGGCAGGGCCAGGCAGCTGGGAGCCGATGACCAGTGACTGCAGTGTTAGTCGCCTGTCACACAAAGGAGTGAAAGGCAAATAAATTAATCCTGAAAACCATGCATCATTTGAAAAGAAATCCAGGATTAGAACAAGTCAGACTGAGTAACACAGGCTAAAGCACTAACTGTGGGTCCAACTAAATCAGCCATAGACGGCTGACACGGCAGCAGCTTCTCTGAGATGTTTGGTTTCTTATAACTGCTGGGTGTGGGTGGGGATTATAGGCTCAGTCAGCTGGATGACTCAGGAAATGAATTTGTATCCAGATAATTGCTTCCTAGCCTGGCAGTGATGCAGGCATTATTAGTCACTCCAATAGCAACTCCATGTAGGGAAAAGGGGAGTTTGTTCGGAAGCAGGCTCCACCCTCAAAACCGCTGGGAAAAAGTTCTAGTGAAACCTGCGTAGTTGACTTGGAGCCCTCTCTGTGAGGGGACCCCAGGAGGAGCACAAGCAGAGTGAGCGAGCAAATCTGCACAGGGCTTCCTGTGGTGCCTTGTTTCCCTGTGACATACTGCTGTCAGAGCAGACACACAGCTGGCAAAGAAGGTTCTGGAAGGTGGACAGCCCTGACAGATCACAACCTTTCTCCTCAGGGACTCGAAGTCCCCTGGCATTGCGTTAAATCAAAGGCAGAAGCTACCTGTGGCCTGCGCTGGCTTCCTCTCTGTGCCTCAGTTTGGGGTTGGGGCCAAGGGCTTGGACAGGGTACAAGGGTCACTCACAGACACTGCTTCAGCCCAGACGGTGGTAGATAAGACAGACCCAAGAGATGGGGAGACAGACAGAAAGAGCAGGGTGCTGATATGATGTGGGCGTCCGCCCCAGTGCTCTCACCTGGTGGACAGAAATTAACACAGTTCCTCCCTTTTCATTAAAAAAAAATTATTAGCACTTATTTATTAGTACCAAATGCTAGGTTTCAATATGGCTGTTCATCTTTGCATACATTTTTATCATGTTCATCCTCATGGCTCTCTCCTGTTCCCTCTCTGTCCCGCTATTCCCTTCCTCCTGCCTAATAACATCATCTTCTTTCTGCTTTCATGTCAGCTTTGGTTTTTTAAAATTCCCCGTTAGGGAAATCTTGTCTTTCTGAGTGAGGGTTACTTTGCTTAACTGGAGAGTTCCAGTCCCACCCATTTCCTGAGAACGACGTAATTTTGTTTTTCTTTACAGTTGAATAATGCTCCTCGGTGTGTGTCTGCCACATTAGCCGGCAGCCATCTCTGCCGCGTGCTGACTTAATTCCTTTTGGTATGTGCCAAGGAGTGACACAGCTGGGTCAAATGATCGCACTATGTTTACAGTTTTGTTTTGAGACAAAGATTTTGTAATTTAGGCTCATCTTGAACTCACTATGTAGCCCAGGCTGTCCTCAAATTTGGGATTGAGCCTTGTGCTTCAGCCTTTGTGCTGGGATTACAGGTGTGCACCACCACACCTGACTCAGTGTTTAGTTTTTGAAGACTGATTTCCATAGCGGCGTAGTAATCTGACCTCTTATCAGCAGTTGTAGAAGGGTTTCCTGCATTCCTGCCAGTATTTATTGCCTTTAGTTTGCTTGGTGATAACTACCCTGAGTCATGCAAGATGGAATCTCAATGTAGGTTTGACTTGTATTTCCTTAATGGCTAATAACACTGAACATTTTGACCTATATTTCCTGACCATTTATAGTTCTTTTGAAAATTGTTCAATTCCTTGGCTCATTTAGTGGTTGTGCTTTTTGGTTTTTTGTTTGTTTGTTTGTTGTTTGTTTTGTTTTTTGGTGTTAAGTTTTATTGATTGATTGATTGACTTTTTAGTTCATTGTGTATCCTAGGAATTACTAGGCTTTCTTCACTGTTAGCTGTTGTTTCTGCTGTATAGAAACTTTTTCATTTGACATAGTCCCGTTTGCTGATTCTTGCTAGCATTTCCTGTGCTGTTGGACAGGAAGTCAGGAAGTCTTCACCTGTGCCTAAGGTTTCAAGTGTTTCCCCTATGTTTTCTTCCAGCAGTTTCAAATTTTAGGGGCTTACACGTAGGTCTTTGAGCCATTTTTAATCAGTTTTGCGGAGAGCAGGAGACAGAGGCCCAGTTCCAGTCTTTGATGTGTGGACATCTGGTTTTCCCAGCACTGCTTGCTAAAAAGCCTTTTTCCCAATGTGTTGTGGCCTCTCTGCCAAGAGTCAATTGGCCATAGCTGGGTGGGTCCACTTCTGTGTGCCTTTTTTTCTCCCTTGGGGCTCTGTGTCTGTTGTTAGGCCAGTTCCATGCTGTCCTTGTCACTTCGTAGTGGCATGTGAAATCAGAGGCTACTGCAGTGTCTCTAGCCTTGCTCTTTTTGCTCAGGATTGCTTTGAGTATTCTGAATCTTTTGTGTGTCTGTAGATTTTTTTTTTTGAGTTCTAGTCATTGGAATTTTGGTGGGAATTGCACTGAATCAGTAGGTCGCTTTTGCTCATATGCCATTTGTGCCCCAAGCCTCGAAGGCAGGGCTTTGGTGAGGTGACTGGATCATGGAGATGTGATGCTCTGCAGTCCATTAATGAATTTCTAGCAAAGGTGATACTGCAAGCTGAAACCTGCTGGAGGAGGTGAGTCACTGGAGGCATGGCCAGGAAGGCTCTGTCTCTTTCCTCCTCCATTGATCTCTCTTTGCTTTCCCATCACCAGGCCATGAGCTGTTTGTCCTCTGACAGGCCCCTCATCGACACCACCTTGTCTTGGAGCCAGCTGACTCTGGACTGAAACCGCTACAAACAAACCATGAGCCAAAGTAAGCCTTTCCTCCTTTAACTTGAGGTATCAGGTATGTCGTCCCAGTAATGAGAAAGTAGTGAGGTCAGTTATTGTAACAATATTATTTCTGCTATTCCATAAACATGAGTGGTCCTTTATTTTCTAGAGTCATCTTCAACTTCTTTAGTGTTCTGTAATTTTCATTGTAGGGGCCTTTCACTTCCTTGAATAGGTTGATTCCTAGGATTTTTTTTAAAGCTACTATGACTGGAATTGTTTTCCTGATTTTTTTTCAGATAGTTCATTATTAATTTATAAAAAAGTTTTTGATATTTTAAATGTTAATTTTGTATGCTTTACATACTCTTTTTAGGTGGGGTATGGTTGACACCCCTGTAATCCCAGTACCCAGAAGGCTGAGGCAAGAGAATGGCTTCAAGTTTGAGGCCAGCTTTGCCCACAAAGTGAATTCAAGGCCAGACTGATCTGCATAGTGAAACCCTGGCTCAAAAAAGACCAAAAGGAAAAAAAAATACTCTTCCTGAGTTAGCGTGTTATTCTTCGAATTTGAGAAAATAGCCATGGGTTTTAACCATCAGCTCCTTCTGTTAGTGGGACCTGCTATTCATCATTTATGGCTACATCTTTGTGCTAAAATCTAGGGGAATACAACAATATAGACTCCCTGATCTTTAAGTATTTTTGAAACTGGCCTGGGAATATTAGACACTGCAAAACATCTGTATACAGGGCCGGGGATTTAGCTCAGTGGCGTAAGCGCCTGCCTGGCAAGCGTGAGGTGGTGAGTTTGATCCCCAGTACCAAAAAAAAAAAAAAAAAAAAAAAAAGCCACATCTGCATACAATGCAACAAAATCAAATGTGTGCTCCTGTCTCCTGCTGCTATGAATGTCCATTTATTCACTAACGAAACTAATAGTTGTCGTATGTCTACTGAGTAGCAGACAGACTTCTAGGCATGGGAAAGCATACTGAATGGACCAAGCCCTAAGCACTGCCTTACAGATCCCAGTGTGCGTGCAGGGAACCCAGGTGCATTTGAGATTCTGCCAGACACCAGTGAGGATCAGGTGATGAGTCTGGAGCTCAGGGTACAGACCTGAGCCAAAGGCCAGAAGAGAGACCCCAGGATGCGCTGGGACCCGGAGGCAAAAGACTGGTGGCCCCTTTCACAGGAGCACACAAGCCACCTATCTCATCCTCCCGACTTGATCTTCTGCCCCTCCCAGAGTATCCACTGCCTTGGTCCCCACCTCTCTCTAGCATCCTCTTTCTGATCACTTCCTTCATTCCCATGCCTCCTTTATCCCCTCCTGGGATGGCTCCCTCCGGCCTCCTTAATTCCACTCTCACATAACAGCGTGAGGATGGGGAATACGGGAAAACCAGTATTACAAAACTATATTCTGACAGAGGGGTGATAGGAAAGAAAGGGGTTCGTCACAAGTCAGTCTTCATTAAGGTCTCCCAGCCAATGCTCAGGACGCAGTCAGGTCCCACTAAAGGGCACCTGTGGAGATGGTGGAGCTGGGAGGCCAGCTTCACTCTTCCCCAGGCAGAGAGGGCCATGCCAGAGAAAAGCCAAATCCCAGAGCTCTCTGTCTGAAGAAGCTTGTAAATTATAGTCTATGTGCACAGCTCAGAATTATCTGCTCTGGCATCAGAAGAGTGAAGGACAGTTAGTGTTTTCAGTTGTGTTGTTGTGGCTCCCTCTGTGTCCTGTACAGATTCAAAACATTTACCTTTCACAGTCATTTTGACTTGGAAGAAGAGCTAGAAGTTGCATGGTGCCACATCTGGTGAACAAGGACACAGCGTAATGGTGTTATGAGTCTGCCTTTCTGTTGGGAGGCAGCAGCATTCACTGTATTATTATTATTAGTTTATCATTATTATTAGGTAGTAGGGATCTAATTCAGGACCTCATGCTTGCCAATAGGCGCTTATACCACTGAGCTAAATCCCCAGCCTCCTCACTGTATTTTTTTTTATCACACCTCCAAAAACACTCATGAAAGTGGACTTCCAGAACTGCCTCAGAAAGTGTCCAGGACGAAGGGATAAGTGTTTCAAAATGAATGAGATTGATGGCTGTATATTTTTTACTGTGATAAATGTTTAAATTTAAACACTGTGTATTTTATTAATCAATCAATCAATCAATTAATTAATTAATTTTTAGTACCAGGGATTGAACTCATGACCTCGTGCTTCCCAAGCAGGTACTTATGCCACTGGGCTAAATCAAGGGCCAAGGACTTAGCTCAGTGGTATAAGCGCCTGCCTTGCAAGTAGCTGTCATGAATTCAATCCCCAGTACCAAAAAAAAAAAAAGAAAGAAATTCCCATCCCTAGCTCACTGCGTATTTTAGTCACACTCCCGAACACTCGGAAAATATGGAAGGAAATAAAAATCAACTATCTCATCTGTATCAGTTAGTGTTCTCTAGAGGAAAAGATTTAATATAAAATGTATATGGTTACATAAAGGGCTTACTAGGTAGGTGTATGATGGTGGCCTGCGTAATCAGGGTGGAAGAACGCAAAATGACCATGCACTGGAGAGCTAGGGCATCCAGTCAAAGACTGAAGGCTTGAAGCTCACTACAGTCCGGTGCAAGTCAGTGTCAGTAAGCTGAGGGGTCTGCATCAGAAGGCTGAAGAGCCTGCTCTAGAGGCCTGAAGGAACTGGGGACTAAGGCCCAAAGGCAGTGGCAAGGACCAGAGCTCCTCCAAAGAAAAAATGTACAGACTTCTTTCTTTCCCTTTTCCTTCTGTCCAGGGTAAAAGCCTATTGGTTGATGATGCTGGCTTTGGGGTGGGTCTTCCCTTCTCAGTTGACATCCTATGTGTCAATCATTCATATACCCAGAGTTCACTAATCACTAGGCAGTTCTTACTCAAAGTGACACATTGAATTAACAACCACATTCACTATTCAGAGGTGATCACAGTGGCCTAGGTTTTACTGCCCATCCACCTTCACCAGCTCACAACTCATTTTCTTGCTGGGGAACCCAAAGTTTCACCGGGCTGTGAGTGCCTCGCCTGGTGAGACTGGGCTTGCTTGGGTCTGGCTTGAGCTGGTTGAAATGTGCTCCCTTTTTCCTCCGTCTTGCAGACTGCTAGCTGTTGGGAGATATTTTTCCTTGTGGAAGATCACAGGAATGCAAAAGCCTGAACAGGAAACTAGATGGTTCTTAATGTTTGCACTTGAAGTTAGTGGACTGTAACTTCTATCACATTGCATGGACTTAAGCAGGTCATCTGACCATGCCCAGCATAGGTGAGCAGGTGGAGAAATGCATGTCATCAGAAAGCCACATAGCCAGAGTTTGCCACCACTGCCATGGAATGTCTAGCCTTCCATACTTTGTTATACAGATTGTACTTAAATGATTTTTTTCATGCACTGGAAATTTGTATTGAGCTATATCAGCTCAGGAAATTTCATCCAGGAAATTTGCACTGAGCTATATCAGCTATATCCTTTGCTATTTATTTATTTTTTATATTTATTTATTTATTTAAATTTTGACAGAGTGTCTCAGTAAGGCACTAGGTGACCCAGGCTGGGCTTAAACTTTCAGTCTTCTTGCCTCAGCCTCCCAAATCGCTGGTGTGATGGGAAAGTTCCCAAGCCAAACCAAGCCAAAAGGAAGACTTTGCACTAAGAAGAAAGAAAAGGCAGCATTTAATCTTTATACCAGCAGACTATTGGATCTTCCCGCCAGTGGACTGTTGTTCACTGAATTTAGAAAGTTTTGTTAATATAGAATTTAGAAGTGGGAGGTACAAAGCAAGTGACAAAAGTGTTGTCTAATTAGTTAGAAACAGTGAGTTATACATTGACAGGCAGGCTAGTCTTGAACAGATCTGTTGAGACAAAGGAATTGTTTGTCATAATATAGAAACACCCTGGGGAACAAGAGGAGGGGGCCTCACAGAATAGTTAAGGGTGTTACCAAAGTACAGAAATGCTCCGGGGATCCTTATGGGGTGAGCATAGTTAAAGACAGTGCCATAATATAGAAGCATTCCAGGGAGGGGCCCTTAAATAGTGAGCTTGACTGGCTCAGGGTGCAGACAGTTACTCTGGCTCAGTGTCGTCAGAGGTGTGCAGTGGGACTTCAGACACTGTCAAATCAGAAACTTGGTCAGAGACCTCTCATTGCTCTCAATGAAATGCCTGTAAGTTATAAATGTGTCCTCTCACTATAATTGTGCCCCAACACTGGCAAAAGGTTTGCCTAGCTGGTACTTAAACAATAATGTGAAAATGAATTTATGCCTCTGCCTCCACTGTCTTTCCGCTTCTTATTTTCCTCACCGACTTCCTCTTTCAGGTTCTTCGCTCCCACCTGTCTTCTTCCTCTTTCTCATCTACTTCCTCTACTCTTTCTCTGATGGTTCCCTCCCGCTCTGTGTCCGATAGTAAATGAAGAAAACAAAGGGAAACAAATATTTTTAACTCAACAGGGTGATGTAAGAAACCTGATAACTGAATTAAATAATAGGAAGTAAAAGAAATTCTCTAAATCCCTGGTGCATGACAAAGAGACGGAACAATCACTTTCCCTGGCACCCATTTCAAGATCAAAGGGACAATGAATTTACAGTGCTGGCATCTTTGGGTGCTGGGTTTTTCCTGTTTGTGCAAATGGATCAACAGGTTCACACAGAACAGGTGCTCAACAAGTTCACACAGAACAGGTGCTCAACAGTGGATGGCAGTCATTTAAAGACTTGTTAGGGGAGCTTTGATAGCGGGTGAGCAACACTGAATCCACAGACCATCTTCAGTAGAAACGATGCTGGCAGCAGCTGCTCTGAGAGGCAAGGCTGTCTCAAAAATAAAGATAAATAAAGGAGCGGGGCACTAATGCGTCACTCTCATAGCCTTAAGGGGCAGCCTGCCCCACCTTGCAAGTGGATTAGTTCTGCCAGGGGTGGTTACAAGCGTGGTGATTTCTAAATTTTAAAAACACTTCTGTTACGGTAAACGATGTCACCACTGATCTTCCTCAAAATATTCCCGCTTACTTCAGGACACTCATTCCATCATTCTGGCCACTTCCTGCAGTGGTTCTGGAAGTCCTTTCTCATGCACGTGTTTGTGTGTCTTTCTCTATGTCCTGAATCAATTTCTGTTGAATAAAAAGGTTACAGTGTCTCCTCATTCACTGGTTCTGTTTCTATGTGACTTCTGCTTGTCCCCTGTGCAAGCTAAGGGATAGGAAGTGATTCAGGATTTTAAGGCAGCCATGACAGTGGAACTAAAGAGAGAGGAGAAAGAGCACTTCCAGAACGGCTTCAGAAAGTGGCGTGAATAGTGGGTAAGTGTGTTGAAGTGAGAAGGTGTATTTTGAAGGGGGAAGGTAATAACAATGCATCTTTTACTGTATTTTATTTTTTTAAAAAACTATTTACTGTATTTTTAATCTTATATGTTAGTTCTAAAAATTGAAGATAGATAGTCCATCTCCAAATCATAAGGTCTGTCTTCTGGATAGGTATTATGTATGGGAGGTGTTTAAGATAAAAGTATCAACAGGAAAAACTAAGCTTGCATTTATGTGGAGATTGATAATATACAGATGTGGGCATCTATTTAATTACTTAATAAATTCGAAAATTGTCTTCGTCTAGAAAATAAGGAAACTGTTGTAGTCAGGGGTTGTGCAGAGAACAATTAGAATCAGGATATGGAGCTTATAATATTATTTTTATGATGGTCACACAAGAAAATGTAGGAAATCTATCCACCTCACCAAAGACATAGACTATTCAGTCAAGAGCCTGAATCCCACAGCAATGTCCCACATGAGTCGAGATGAAAACTAAGAGCCCATGAAAATGCCTCCCATGAGTCCAACTGGAGGTCCAAAGCCCACAAGGACCCACGCCAATCTGTTTTACAGATCCATGCCGGGAAGGCCCAGAGGTCAACGGTAGAAAACAGGAAGTCCATGCCAGTGGGGTGAAGGAGCTATGCTGGATCTGAGAAGTCGTGTGACACTCACAACAAAGACCAGGGCTGTCCTGAAAAACACCACAGCCATCCTCAGTGATACGGAGGCCCAGAGCTCCTCTGATGACAAGCACAGTCAAGTACCTGCCAGGAAGCAGCGTGACGAGTTCCTTACCAGAGCCAGGAAGCAATGTTTGATGTGAGGACCAGAGCTTCTCCAGGAGAACCAACGGCTCAAACAGCAACTTGTAGGAGAACCCACAATGCCACAATACCTCAACCCAAATAGCTTCTCTTTCTCCATTTTTATGCTGGCAACTTTCCTCAGGTGAACATCTATGCTCAGCACCATGCTGATGTAATCCAGCTGCCATTAAGTTGACCACCAGTTCTTAATCCATAACAGGAACTGAGTAAAGTCATTTTCTGAGCATATTGCCTAGAGCAGCGTGCGCATCCTGGGTGTTGTACAAAGAGTGAACAGGACACAGCCTTGGGCCCGTTCCATTCATTTGTTCATTCATTCTTCAGTCAGTCACTTCCTTACTTGGTGACAGACGCTGGATGTCCAGTGTGGACACAATCAGTACACGCCCTGATCTCACAGGGTTCCCACCCTGTGAACAGCTATGAACACTGCAAGCGCTCTGGGAAGGGGAGTTGGTGAGTGCTGTGGAGATAGAGCGAGCAAGCTCATGATTCCTTAGTGGATATTGGGCTAAGGTATTATTTTCTCACTTTACTGTTTGTTGTTAACCTAACAGTGAGAAGATGGAGGGGTAAATCATAGCTTTTCACGTTTTGAAGGGTATATGAACCACACTATGCTTCTAATAAACTCCCTCTGGGAACAAGAGACCTGAATCACCTGCCCCAAGGTCATACTGGGAAAGGTCATGCTGGTAATGGTCAGTGCAGATTTACCGCTAGTTTCAGCCCAACTCTGAGGCTGGTACTTTTGTCATCTCTGAGAGATACTAACCCACCGTCTTGTGAAGTTCTAAAATTCTGGCTCTAAATTCACTATGGTGATGCATACCTGTAATCCCAGCACTCAGGAGGCTGAGGCAGGAGGACTGCCACAAGTTAAAGGCGAACCTGTACTACACAAGCTTACACTGTAGAGCAAGACACTGTCTCAAAAAACTTTTTTTTTGTCTTTTTTTGAGACAGGGTCTCACGCTATGCAGTTCAGGCTGGCCTTGAGCTCACTTGGTAGCCCGGGCTGTTTTGTTGTTTTTTGTTTAAAGAAGTTTGGTATTTTCTGGTGCTTGAGCTACTCCAGTGAAGGAATATTAGAGATGCCTGGGCGTTTTCTTGGGTTGAAAGAAAGTCACAGAGTACAGTAGAAGACAGTGTCTATAATTACAAAACCCTTATATGGCACTGCAAAGAGTTCCTGCTGTAGCCTGGAAAGATGGAAAACACTCTCTGGAGCCCTACTCCAGGTGGGCCTGGTGTGCACAGCTACAATCCCAGCGCTCTGGGAGGTTGAGACAGGAGGGTCCAAATTCGAACCCAGACTGAATATTTTAATCCTTTAGCAAGACCCTGTCTCAAAATTAAAACCAAAACCAAAACAAAACTTAAAAAAGCCAAAGGGCTGGGGATGTAGCTCAGTGCAAAGGCCCTGGGTTCAATTGCTTGTACTAAATAAAGACAACTTGCTATGGAGGAGGCTAGGGTGAGCAAACAGAGATGGGACTTCTTGTAAAAACAGTAACCTCAGAGGAAACCTGTCACCATGAACTGGGCCCTTTTCGATTTTTACAATGACCTTGATGGAGATGTGTCACCCACACTCAGCAATAAGAAAAAGGTAGCTAACAGTGACCTGAAGAAGCTCAGTCTGCTCTGGGCCTGGCTGGGTGCAGTGGCAGAGCCAGGACAATGCTGGGCAGGAGCAGGAGAGAACCCAGGATGGCACCCCTGGGGGCCACAGCCACAGAGCCAGGAGAGCCGAGGGCTGAGGGGAAGCACAGAGCTGATGGGCAGTGAGCTGGCAGGAGAGCTGTGAGGTGACGGCTGCTGTCCCTCAGCTTCTGGAGAAGGAGGGAAGAGAGCGTGAGCAGGGGGCAGGAGTTCTGGGTGTAGCCAAGAAATGAAACTGAAGATTGGGCATAGTGGTGCACACCTGTAATCTCAGCACTCTGGAGGCTGAGGCGGGAGGACTGCCATGAGGTGGAGGACAGCCTGGGTGCCTATAAATTCCAGGTCAACCTGTACTACGAGCTAGATGCTGTCTCCAACAAAACAAACAAGCAAGCAAACAAAAACCAGGTTTTTAAAAAGCATGTTGAAGGTGTAGCTTAGTGATAGAGCCCTTGTACTAGAAAAATGAAAAACAGGAAAGGAGCTAGAGAAGGATCCCTAGGGAAGGCTCTGTTTCCTCGATGTGGCTGTGGAAGGAACCAGTGGAGGGAAACACTGGCCATGCAAAGGACAAAGTGACCTATGGAGCAACATCCTTAGGTCTTGCAGAGGTGCACGAAGGCTAGGTGAGGCACAGGCATGCCCAGGAGTAGGCGGGCAGGAGGGCACACTGCTGGTGTACTAGTGGGTGGAACACGCAGCATCCTCTTCCTGTTGCTTCTGCCTGCTGCCACATGTGTGTGCACCGTGGTACCATTTTCACCCATGTTAGGCCCACTTTAAACTGAGCGTGGTGGCACGAACTTGTAACTCCAGCACTTGGGAGACTAAGGCAAGAGAGTGGCTGAGAGTTCAAGGCCAGCCTGGACTACACAGCAAGATTTTATCTCAAAAAAAAAAAAAAAAAAAAACCCAGAAAGAAGATAAAAGTAAGACCTTTCTTAAAATTTTTAATAAAACAAACAAACACCACGGTGGGGGCTGGAGGGTGATAGAGCACATTTTTTCCCCATTTTTAACATCTGTGAAATTGGGGAAGAAATTTAAAACCAATAAAGTGTTGCACTCTTGATATTTATTTTCTCTCAGTGCCATACACAATATAGAGGGTTTTACATCAGAAATAAGGTAGATTTGGTAAGTAGTTGTTACCAGATTCTAGGGTACTGGGGTCTCCTTCTGGGGTGGTTTCCAGGTTCCTTCTGTCCTAAGCAAAGATTTGGCCAAGACAAGTGCAAAGGAGAGCGGGGTGTTAACGTTTATTAAAGGCGGGGAGAGAAGCAGGCTCCCCTCAGAGTGAGTCTGGGCCCAGCAAAAGCAGGTTCCGTCCACTCTGCAGGGTGAGTTTGGTCCTAGCACATGAGCTGTTGCAGAGAGCTGGACTCCACCATGCTTCTGCATTTCCCACTTCTCAGGCTGAGGTCAGGTCTGGCCTCCCATGTAAAAACTGCTCCAATTATTCTGGGAAGTCCAGGGCCTGGTAGAGAGAGGCGGCGTGAGGCTTAGGGCTGTTCTGTGCATGTTCATACATCCTGGCTCCTTGCGGTTACCTGGTCCTGCTCATTTCCCCCTGCTGACTGACAATCCGGGTCTCCTGCCACACTCTGGGGTTCATCAGAGCTCCGCATTGCAAGGCATAAAATGAGCTGTCTGGGTGGCCATGGTGGCACACGCCTGTAATTCCAGCATTTGGGAATCTGAGGCAGGAGGATTGCTGCAAATTGGAGCCCAGCCTGGGCTGCAAAGTGAGCTCAAGTCTAGCCTGAACTGCATAGCAAGACCCTGCCTCAAAAAGACAAAAAAAGGCAGGGAGCATTTTTACCTTGTGAGGCAGGGGAGATAGGATGCTGTTGACTGAGGGGATCTGGTGCAGTGTTCTAGACACTGCAGCCAAAGCTCTGCAGAGGCCAGGAGCAGGGTGTCCTCTATGTGAACTGTGCAGCTGGGCTCTCCTTCCTGCAAGGAGCCAGTGAGACTGAGGTCAGGACCACACTGGCCACACCTGAAATAGTGCAGACACGACCAGCCCCAAGAGCTTGGCCCACTTCCTGTACAGTGGAGCCATGGGGTCTGAGGTCAGGATCTGTGTCTCGGCACCCACAGCTCCTGCTTCCTCCCAGCAGGCCCTTGCTGAGCGCAGGGACGGGAGTCTTCAGGGGTCACAGACATGCATTCATAACATCAAGTCGTCCAAATTGTTTTCAATCTCACTAATGAAACCGTGTCCCAGGCCTTGTTCTAGACACTCATAAATGCTAACTCTTGCCATTTGTATAGTGATCTCAGAGCTAAGTACTATCACATCACCTCTCATCTATAGATGACATGGGCCACGTTCACACAAGTCATAATCTGCGAGTTGTGATTCAACCCAAGAAGTTTGCGGTTTTTTAGAGACAGATGTAGCCCAGCCTGACCTTGAACTCCCAGCAATCCTCCTGCCTTAGCCTCCTGAGTGCTGGAATTACAGGTGTGTACCACCATGCCTGGCCCAAGCAATTTTGTCCAAGAGCCCATCCTAGGTGTTCATGGTGTGGTAAACTGCCTTCCAGTTATTCTGTCCAGGAAGTTATTCTCTGTTGGAGATATGGATGATGCAGGAGGGAGGAAGGATTTGGGCATCTGAAAGCCAGCAGTAGCTTTAGGGGTTATCGGGGACCCTCCAAGCACAGAGGGGAGTGATGTCCCAACGGGAGCTTCAGCAGTGTCTGCCCTAGGGCTCCTCCTGCTCTCCCCTGCCTGACCTCAGCTATGATGCCCTTCCTTTGGCCTCCTGGGCTTTCCTGCGGGGTGGGGGGTGGGCAGGTCTTTTCTTTGACAGTGACACAGTGTTGTCCTCAGCTAACCCAGCACAGGAGCACTCAAGAATGCTGCCATGTCCTCAGCCCAAACTGGTGCTTTTCTCTCCTGTAATTGTGGCAACTGTAACAAGACTGAAGACCAGTTAAGTGGAAGAGAAGGCTTACGTTCTTGCCAAGAATAGGAAAGATGTGAGATAAAAACCGGTTTTTGAACTGAGTATGGTGGCACATACCTGTAGTCCCAGTGCTTTGGAGGCTGAGGCAAGAAGATTTCTGAGAGTTTGAGGCCAACATTAATGAATTAAAGGGCAGCACAGCCTGCACTACAAGACCCTGTCTTAAATCCCACCACCCATCAACTTTGCAAACCACTAGTGGTCAGGGGTTTATAGATATAGGGGGAAAAGAAATTGTGAGGATGAACAGGCTGATAAAAAGAAGGAAGACTAGGCCTGGTGGCACACATCTGTAATTTCAGCACTCTCTGAGGCTGAAGCAGGAGGATCACAAATTGAAGGCCACTGTGGGCAATGTAGTAATCTGGCAAGACCTTGCCTCAGAAAATAGTAAGTAAAATAATAAAGGTTGGGGATGTAGCTCAGTGCAAAGGCCCTGGGGTTCAATGGTAAGTACAGTACCATCGTGAAAAGCAGGGAGGGATTGAGGCACTGCCTCTCTCTGCTCCACCGCGCCTCACCAGTTCATTGTTGGGGGCTGGAGGTGTTGCCTGGCATGCAGGGGGCAGCACTGTGAGGCTGCATGCTGTGGGCAGTCTTCCAGCAGCCACCATAGGTCCATCTAGTCACTTTGGGCTTGGCCTCAGCCTCCCTAAGAGGAGCCTCCAGGCTCCAGTCATCTGGTCCTCAAAGATCAAGATCAGGGTTGGGCAGAAATCCTGCCCGGCCAAGCAGGCAGTTCAGCGTGAGTTCTGGGTAATAACAGGGTGCAGAGAATACAGTGGGAAAGGGAATGGCACATGGAGAAACGGGGGATTCTATTTCAGGAACAGAAGCAGCTCTAAATCTAAGACCATGACTGCCTTGCTCAGAGATAGAACCCTCGAACAATCTCACTTTTCCCAAAGCCTCCTTCTGGGGTCCCTGTGTGAGTCAGGGCTCAGCCTTAAATTGTAAAAGTGAATGTTCAACCAGGCCTGTAATCCTCAAACTCTAAGATGCTGAGGCTGGGGTTGGCAACTTCAAACCCAATCTAGGCAGTTTTCAGATTTAGCAAATCCTGCTCCCCCCTCCCCAAAAAAAGACATAAGGAAGGAAGAGGAACTGAAAGGAGCTTCAAGGGTGCTCAGAGCTGGCCAGGCCCAGCTGCGATCCCAGCGCTCGAGACCCCGCCCGCTCCTCGCTGACTGAGAGTACATGACAGTCTCTTGGGCGATTCTTCCAAACCAAATTTTGAGCACTGGGCACACTTGCTCATCCTCATTGAGGTCTGAGGCAGTGGTAATAATAATAATAATAATAATAATAATAATGGCCTGATTTTTTCCCCCAAAGAAATAAATACCAAATATATTTTTCTTAGTGTGCAAAAAATTCATAATGCAAGTATTTCATGTCACACAGGTTGGGAGATTGGTGTCCGCTTCTGAAACTACATTATTTCTCACACAAGATAATCTAATATTTGGTAAAATCAATTAAGCAAATTAATACACTCAGTGCGCTGTCTGTTTCTAACCTTATTTTTATTGATGCCTATTAGTTTTGGAGAATACTGGGTTTGGGTGCATATATTTTGATTGTATCCTGTTATCTATTCTTACAATAATATTTTCTTTCTAAGTTATTATGCTTTCTAGTTCGGACTACTGATAGAAGGAGCTGCAACTTGGAAGGAGAACAAATTATGGCTTGAGTCAAGAGAGGAACAGACTCACAATCACGTCTCATCGGGTCTGGGAAGCCAGGCAGCCATGGACCAATCGACACCCTCCCCCTCAGCCACCTGGCACCCAGCAGGGCTGGAGCACTGGGTGCTCCCTCTCTGGATGCTGCAGGAAACTCAAGTAGCTCTAGAACTCCTGTAGCCGCTACCAGAGCTGCTGGGAGTAGCCATCCTCTCTGCGGACTTGCTGTCCCACCTGCTGTCCAGAAAACAAGAGAACCACCCCTGTCTGTTTCTTGCCAGTGGGGAGCTAGCCCTCTGTATTCTGTGCTGGCTTTCTCTCCCTGCCACGGTCAACCCAAGGTTCCTGCAGCCACTGGGCACCTGGCGGAGTCCCCGGCTACACCTCCTGCTTTGCACATACAATGTTTTGTAAGATAGTGTAAATCACCTCATTTTAGAGATGAGGAAATGGATACCCAGGGAGATGAAATAACCTAAGTAAAGCCAGGCAATTAATAAGCAATTAATAGAGCCAGGATCCAAGCTAGGGGGCCACAGGCTGCCCACAGCCTTTCCTCCGGACTCTGAGAGCCCTCTCTCCTGATGGGAATGAAAACAAGGCCTGGAAAGACCAAGGCCAAGACAACTCCAAGGAGCCTTCCAGTCTAGCCCTGAGGAGACCCACAGCTTCCAGCCTGGGCTCTCATGGGCCCTGGCGGCCCAGGAAGGCCTGGGTGAGGAGGGCTCGTGGTGCTATAGAAATATTCTAGGCAGTCAGACAGCGCTGGGCCCTTGAGGGAGTCGGTACAAAGGATGAGCACACATCACAGCTGTGGCTGGCGGCTCCTCTGTCTAAGGCAGGCCCCCAAAATAAGACAGAGTGACCAGGCCTACATGCCTCCCCAGGGGACAAGCAATAGACTGTAATTTACCACCTGGTCCAATAAAGTCTAAACAGGCCAGCTGGGTGACCACGGCCTCCTGAGTCAGCTCTTCTGAAAAAGGCCCTTGTTCTTTCCATGAACCCCTGCTACATGAGCTGCTTCCCTGCTGGAGCAACACAATCTAAGCAGCTGTACTTGTGATCTGGTTGGTTGGTCACAGTTTTGTCCCACCTTGTACCCACTTTGCAGTGTTGCTCTATAAACTTTCCTCTGGAAAGTGGGGTCCACAGCCGCCCAGGCAACCCATTTGGGTCCCCCGCCCGTTTCTCAAGAGACATCTCTCAATAAACAGTCCCTACTCTTCCTTAGAACTCATTCTTCGATTTTGGGAAACATGGACCCCATGTATCGAAATCAAGCCGGGTGAGAGTTAAAATATTTCCCCTATAGCATTAGGAGGTCCTGTATCAGTACAATTGTGAGAGCCAGTGTTTTGGCTCTCCAATTTAATCCCAGCACTCAGGAGGCTGAGGCAAGAGGAT